GGGTTTTCAGAGACTGACTGCTCACAGTGTGGAGCATCTCTGCAGACAAGCAATTAAGGAGAAGACCGAGGCTACAGCCCTATTGCCTGCTCAGCGCAGCAGGGACCCCCGTCACAGGAGCTCGACCACGCAGAAGCTGGGCAGTGAAGCACTCGGCCTGCCAACCGATGGAGGCAACAGCTGCCTGCCCATGAAAGGGGACGTGTACCGGGACGTGTATTTTATAGATACAGGACATTTGGACTTTCTCGTTAGCCTGACAATAAATGTCCAGCATTTAACACATCACTGAAGTTAAAGATCATTTGTGATGCATTAACATTCACTTCCTTCTCTGATCTGCACATTTGACAGTGAACGTGCAAGCTTACCCTTGACATAAAATTCATGTTTGTGCATTTCAAGGAAAGACACCCATTAAGGTGAATCATGTGTTAATCATTATTACAAATCTGAACAAAATACACCATATATTTTCCATCGGCGGTCATGACTGTTTACTTACTGATGCTACTGGTAAAAAAGGAGCTTTCTGTCAAGACTGTAACACATCGTAATTCACGCTGCACATGGTGTAAACTAATGAACTGTAACATTATGGTGTTGGAAAACACTTGTGGTGCTAGGAAGTGCTAAAGATCTCCAAAGCTCCTCATGTATTTAGTTCTTAAACACGGAATTTCTGACCTCGTAATTAACAAATTTTCTCCTTAAGGCATTTTATTGCAAGAATTTATTACAGAAGCTTACAGCAACCGCAGCCAACAACATCCATGGCAGCACAGCCAATCTACTAACCTCCAGTCCCACAGCACACCACCACTGCTCCACGCTGCTTAAGAGAACCCACTTCTGCCTTTCAGCTATCACCAAAAGCACAGGGACAGCCAGGACGCTGACCTGTAGCTATTCTGTGCTTCGTTTAGAGCCATCTCCCTCTCTTTTGTATGCCTTTTTGGACAAGGGCCACATCCAGAGGCCTCACTGCAGAGACACCTGAGCCGTGCAGCCGCAGCAGAGCGACTCCACTGCATCCAGGTATCTGCCAGGCAAATACCGATGGACGCACGCTGTCAAACAACTACATTGCTCCGTACAGGTTGTTACGGCGAGTTCACTGTGCTCTAATCTCCGCATGTTGCAAGATCGCCTCCTATCACATAGCACGCTAGGAATCAGCAAGGCATGTGCAGGCGTGGATGCCTACGTTTCCCACAAAACCCTGTGATTTTCTCGTGAGTCCCGGCCCGGCACATTCCCCTGAAATATCCACAGTTGCCAGCTGACAAGGGGATGCTTGGCCAGAGAACAAGGCAGGGGTAACGAAGAGGTACGCATCTGTGGACATCGCTGGAAGTTGTTAACTAACTCCCTTTTACTTTGGGATCACTAACAGAAAAAAGAACAAGGCAGGGGTAATGAAGAGGTACGCATCTGTGGACATCGCTCGAAGTTGTTAACTAAATCCCTTTTACTTTGGGATCACTAACAGAAAAATTCCCGACGTCGCTTAAACTGTGATAACAGGCATGACCGGGCAACAGGCTGCAGTAGCAGAGCTGTGTGGGAAACACAGACAGACAAAGTCCATTATCTACAAATCAGGTAGTAAACACCCTTTCCTTTCTGCAGAACATACACATTAACGGTATTGATCAAAGACGTACCCTATAAACATGTTATACTGCACATGTTCCTATAGTAAAGCAGTTACGTAGTCTTTAGAAGTCTTTAATACCTGACCAAAATCCCAGCGCAAACCCCAAAACACTTAAAACATTACTGGAAACAAGCGATTAACTTGTTTTTAGCAAACATTAAGCCATCCTCAGAACGAGCCACTACTCAGTGGAGCGGATGGGCCGTCAGCATAAAAGGAGAGGATCTGGGCAGAAGTCCCCAGCTCGGCCTCGCAGGTCCCCTGCCGACAGCCAGCCTCCAAGCTCCGGGTCCGCAGAATGAGGGGCACCGTGCTGGCGCTGGCCTTGCTCTCTCTCCTGATTGCGGCATGTGAAGGGAAAGGTGAAGGAAACACCGTGAAGCTCTGTGGGAGAGACTTTGTCAGAGCCATCGTCTTCACCTGCGGCGGCTCTCGGTGGAAAAGGCATTTGACTGATTATCACTACCTGTTTGGTAAGTGCTAATTAATGAACTACAGGCTCCTCACCCCCTGCAAGGTGTGCCTAGCTCCGAGGGGATTCGGGAGAACCAAATCACCTGCAGGCTGTACCTAAGGGCTTCTGCTGCTCCCCTGGCATGAACAGCATGGGCTTTGCTTTGAGACAGCAAGAGAAGTGGTACAGCTTCATGGCTTTTGTTTCCTTGCAGCTTGCTTGGCTGAGCTTAGTGTGCTGTTCTGTTAAATAAAAAAACATTTAGATCCAGATTTTTCCAAGTCAACCTGAGGAGCCACGAGTTAAGCCCAAGGCTATCACTGAAAATCTCTGTGCTGTGACATTTTAAATGTCAGACACAAGCTTTGCTGCAACCAATGCAAGTTTTTTACTGTTGTCTTCAGTAGGACACACTGCTTTCCCCACTAGAAATCAGAAACTTTATTACAACTTAATAATATAATTAAAATATGTTGAATATATACTCTGCAATTTAAGTATCTTCAGATGGTGTTGTACATATTTATATCTACCAGCACATTTTTATACAGTCAGAAAATTCAGCCATTACGTGCACTGCTAGAAATTTGTACTCTGATAGGTTACAATAACTAGAAAAAAGAAAATAAATGAGGCAGATGACAGGAACAGAGGCTTTATACACTTTCCACGGAGTAACATCTGCCTTTTTTTGAAAATTCTATGGTAGCAGCAGCTTTCAACAAACATAAAAAGTGATGCCACCTGCAACACCTTACCTGAGAGTCTGTTAAAGGAGAAGAAACCCCCACTGCTAAACTAAGCGAGATAACCGCTATACCTTTATAAACTCCACAAGGCAGTGCCCAGTTGTACTGTGGTATTTAAAACGCACATGAATCACAAGCGTAATTTAAGTGGGAACACCCAGGAACTGTGAAATTGTGGGGTATCTGGTGCCTTAACGTAGTATCTGTATTTCAGGAAACCCACAAGCAGCTTCCGGTTAACGTGCTGGCCAAGTGCCACCGACACATCAAATCACGGTTTTACCCTGCAAAGCAAATGTATCAGTGTAAGACTCATACGGCAACTATTCCTACGAAGAACATTCTTCAATATAAATCTATAAACTACTGGGGTTTTTAACATGTTAATCACAGAATGTGTAGTCTCCTATCTATTTTAACACTGCCCTGGTGAGAAGTCAGTGATCTGCTGCATCTCGGTTGTACATGTCAGGAACACGGAGGATAGTACTTTCAGCTCCCCGGCTGGAGGCTGGTCTGTCCTTCTAGTAAAGATAAATATTATAAACAACTCACAATTCCATGACTTCTAATTTTTAGCTTCTAATTTTTATGCGACAGAGAGTGAAAATCCCCTGCCTTTCTCACAAGAGAACAACGGTTATGGCGACTCCTGGACATACACAGACCAGAGGCTGGAGGCTGACAGCGAAGAAATCCGTAACATCAAGCCCGAGACAGAGCGAGACTTGCAACACGCCAGGAAAATGTCTGTGCTAAAGAAGCGCGAAGCAGCCAAGATGCTTACCACATCCTGCTGCAGCATCGGCTGCAGTGAGAGAGATATCAGGTCCCTGTGCTAAAATGTGGCAGATGCTGAGAAGGTTCAATGTCACAGCTTTCATGTATTAAAATAATCATGACTTTATAAACCACAATTATTTCAGTTGTATTCTTTAATTGTAGCTTTATTCTTAGGAGGACAGTAGGGAGTAAAGGTTGGATGTTAAATGTTACAGTGTGAACCGGAAAATGGCTTCAGTGACTGTTCAGGTTGGGTTGTCTGGGTTCCACAAAGTGTTTACAGTGGTTTAGAGTTAAACTCTTAGTCATGAGTACAAATATTTCTTCCCATCTAACTATATTCTAGTTTCAGCTTTGCACATAAAACGTAATAAAAAAAGCAATTTATCATATGCTTGTTCTCTTATGAAAATCCAACAGCAGGTTTCAGCGGTGAAATACAACCAGCAAAAAGTCTGCCTCCAGAACCAGAACACGACTGACGCAGTGCAGATGGCCTCACGCTGTGAGGCCTGTGGGTCAGAGCCCACCACGGCAGGGCAGCGGAGGAGACCTGTGACTGGTCAGCACTGGCCCGAGCGGGGCAGCAGCCACGGACCGTGTCCTGTTCCACTTGCTTCCCGTAAAGTCTACGCGAGGTCCTACCTAGAAGGCAGTGAGTTTGCACCCAGGGAGAGTGCAAATACACTCCTGAGCTCAGAGCGATGTATTTCCGCTCTTCTCTACAGGCATCTATCAGCCGAGAACCACAATTCTACTCTTTTTTTGCTAGACTCAAGCATCTTTAACAGAAGGGCTCAGACATCTTAGATCTATATACTCTAAACATGATCTGATTTGAAGACATTTTTCACTTGATTTCAAGCACTATGGGACAGAGCTAGTCTTCTCCAAGCAGAAGTAACTGCATTCTCTGCAGTAGGGATTCAGGGGCAGCTCCTGGTCAGACCTGGCCAGCCCCTGGCAAGCTAAGTTCCTGACTCCCTTGCTCTCCACAAACACCACTCTGTGGGGATAGTTTTAAAATGCTTTAGTTTTACTTTCCCAAAATCCCTCCGTGGTTTCTACTTGGGGATCACGTAGAGAGGGCAAATTCAGGGAGAAAAAAGTACAACAGGGATACCCAGTTCTGCAAGCAGTTGGAATCAGGTGCAAACCAGCATTTCACAGAGAATCACTTCCCAGAGAAAACTCTGGGAAATACAATTATTACATTCACCACCGAAAGGCTTATGGTAACCACATTTCAGAACAGGTGAAAGTTGCCTTGGTCCTTCACAACTGTTTTCAACAACAGAAAGAGGAAGAGTTAGATGAATGTTCATTTCTCCTGCTGTTAAACTTCCCTACCTCCTTATTCAAAATAGATGGCATAGACATTTGCAAGAGCAAACAGCGAAGCGTTCTTGAACACGTACGACGAAAATGTGTCACTCTCAGGATCCCACAGGCACCTGCTTCCAATTTGCATGCTCTGCTCGTTCAGCTGCCCGATATGTATAACCACAACAATCTTGTATCTCGGTATCATAAGCTCTTTTACCTGAGCTTTAATGACCTGCAAGAGAAAAACACGTTTAGACACAAGCGGTAAGCTCTCTTCACAGGGCATGCTCAGCGGTTTGGTTTTCTGGGACAGACAAGTGCAGGCATCGCAGTACTGAGCCCCAGCAACAACCCCGACGACAATCTTTGAACTGCGGCATTTGAAATGTGTCCTGCAAACTGCACCAGCCCGTGGACAGGTGGCATGTACGCTGCTGTGCTCCTCGCACAGGAGAACCAACACTTCCATCTGCTCAAAACAGGCACAGCTTCCTGCCAAAATGCAAGTACAGATGTAAATTAAGGAGTTTCTGTACGTGAATACTATATTCTCCTCCATGTGTGTTCATAGTTACCTTCTACGGGGAAAGGAAGAGCAGACAGTACCGCTTTTTTTAATGCCGGTGAGCTCTTCTGAGCCAAATCAGCTGAAAGACTAAAGGGTCAGGACAGTCTTTTCTCAGCAGTATCAGCAGTAAGACTGGATTTAACTGAGAAGTAGCTTGCATACGTGTCACCATGCAGAATTCAGCCACTACCATAACTGGCCTGTATCAGAAAGTTATCAGTGCATACTTAAAACTTACTAATGGCATTTCTGGACAGGATAACCACAGCACTGAGTTTTTACTGAACCATGTGCTTGGCCAGAGCCACCGCTGGTCGAACAAACCTCATCATTAACCCACATAAGCCAGCACTTATCTCAGAACAACCCTTGGTGCATCTTGATGGCCTCCTCCAGCATTTGTTTTACATTTGATGTTTATATTTGGGGCCTTCCCCTCACCGACAGCCACCTCCCTAACACCCCATAGAGGCGTAACGACAAAATGGCCGCCTCATGCTTCAAGCACATCGTTACCTCAGCCATGTCCTTCGCCATGTCCCTGCACTGAGCCGGCTCGTAGCTCTGCTCCCTCAGGTAGCTTCCCAGCACATCCTTCAGGATATCATCCACCGCTGCCACGGGGAAGCGTTTGGGGGGACCTGAGGGGCAACCCGATGAGGTTAAGCTCGGTTTTCAGAGGGAAAACCCACCGCGCTGAAGCCGGAGAAAGGCGCCTCGGAGATCCCCGGAGATCCGGCCCTGGAACCTACCCGATCGGGGGTCGCTGCCA